ACTGATTATCAGCAATCAAGTTAAATGAGTAATATAAAAACTCCCAGCAAACAAAAAAGTCCAGGACCAAATGGCTTCACAGGTGAATTCTATCAAACATTTAAAGAAGACTTAAACGCAAAATTCTGAACAAAATATTAGCAAACTGAATACATCAAAACATTAAAAAAAATTATTCACCATGATCAAGAGACTCAGTATTTGCATATCAATATGATATCCATATCAAAAAGAAAGGATAAAAATGGTATCATCTCAAATAATGCAGGAAAGGCATTTAACAAAGTGCTACATCCAGGAACACCCTGAACAAAGTAGATTAGAGGGAACAGACTTTTAACATAACAAAGGCCATATAAGAAAAAGCCACAGCTAACATCATACTCAACAACCATACATATAAACTCAAAATTAAGGACCTAAATGTGAGACTTAAAACCATAAAAATCCTAGAGAAGTGCACAGGTAGTCATTTTTCTGACATCAACCCTAGCAACATTTTTCTCAATGTGTCTCCCGAGGCAAGACAAACAAAACCGAAAATAAACTACTGGGACTACATCAAAATCAAAAGCTTCTGCAGAGCAAGGAAAACAATCAACAAAACTATAAGACAATCTATGGAATGAGAGAAAATATTTGCTAATGACATATCAGATGAAGGGTTCATATTCAAAATACATAAGGAATTTATATAACTCAACACCAAAAACCACAAATATTCCAATTAAAAAATGGGAAGAAGGTATGAACAAACATTTTTCCGAAGAAGACATAAAGATGGCCAACAGACACATGAAAATATGCTCAACGTCACTCATCATCAAGAAAATGCAAATCAAAACCACAACAGCCTATCACTTCACAACTGTCACCCCAATGGCCATAATAAAAAATACAGGAAACAAGTGTTGGCAAGGATGTGGAAGAAAAGGAATCCTCATACACTTTTGCTGGAAACCACACTGGTGCAGCCACTGTGGAAAATAGTATGGAAGTTCCTCAAAAATTTAAAACAAGAATTAACATATGACCTATTATTCTACTACTGGGTGTTTACCCAAAGAATACAAAAACAGTAATTGAAAAGATATATGCACCCTTATGTTTACTGCATCATGGCTGTTAACAGCCAAATCATGCAAGTAGTCTGTATCCACCAACAGATGAACTATTAAAGAAGTGGTACATATACATAATGGAGTGTTATTCATCCAAGAAACAGAATGAAATCTTGCCATTTGCAACAACATGGATAGATCTAGAGGGTATAATGCTAAGTGAAGTTAGAGACAGACTCATATGTGGAATTTAAGAAACAAAACATGAACAAAGAAGCAAAGAGACAAACCAAAAAACAGACTCTTAACTACAGAAAACTGACAGTTACCACAGGGGAGGTGGGTGTGGGGGATGGGTGAAATAGATAAAGGGAATTAAGAGTGAATTTATCATGATGAGTACTTAGTAATATGTAAAACTCTCAAATCACTACTGTAAACCTGAAACTAATATAGCTTACTATTTAGTTTTCACTAGAAAGTAGTTTCTACTACTGGAAATAATGAAGGAAGCACTCTGTGAGCAAGGAAAATAAGATACATGTTTTTGTTAAGAAAGTTACGAAAAGTGGGAATACATTTTTGTTGAGAGAAAAGAAAAGAACCTGACATAAAATGAGACTGGTTTAGAAAGGGAAAATAAGAGAAGAATCTGAATGTTAAAAAAAAAAAAAAAAAGAAAGAAAAGAAAAAGTTGTGGAAAGTCTGTGAAAAAGAAATCTTTGCAAAAGAATGTGTGGTCAGGACAAGGACAGGAATTAATGAGTTTTAAAAGTACACTGGTTCAAGACTGGAGTTTGGTTTTTCTCTTTGTTGAAATGACAGGATTTTCTTGGAATATTGGTCTGTTTTTGACAGAAAAAAGTACAAGGTTTTTCCTTTATGTGCCCTGAAAAAACAAAGTTTGCTATCAGGTCTTTACTTAATAAATGTAAATCTTATCAATACTAAAAGAGCTAAGTTTTGCTAAACACTATGTAACTGTGTCTATTTGCCTTAAGAATCTTTTATTGCCATCTAGGTTAAATAAGTAAGTTTTAAGGTTTGTGATGATTTATGTTTCTACGAAGTATGTGCTTTAAAAAAAATTTTTTTTAACATTTATTCATTTTTGAGACAAAGAGAGACAGAGCATAAGTGGGGAGAAGCAGAGAGACAGAGAGAGAGAGAGACAGACAGACACACAGACACACACACACACTCTCTCTCTCTCTCTCTCTCTCTCTCTCTCCGAAGCAGGCTCCTGGCTCTGAGCTGCTGCTGGTACAGAGCCCAACAAAAGGCTTGAACCTATGAACTGTGAGATCATGACCTAAGCCAAAGTTGGACCCTTTGAGCCACCCAGGCACCCGTTTGTTTATGCGAGAGAGAGAGAGAGAGAGAGAGAGAGAGAGAGAGAGAGCGCGCGCGCATGCGCACGAGCAGAGGGTGGGGGCAGAGAGAGGGAGACAGAATCCAAACAGGCTCCAGGCTCTGAGCTGTCAGCACAAAGCCCAGGAGCCCCATTAAGTATGTGCTTTAAAACTTTGACATTTTTAACAAATTTCCCAAAATTCTAATCCTAAACTAATTTTAACTAATAAGGCTGATTTATTTGGTATGTTAAGTTACATGGGAAGCATTTTCAGAAAAGTGATGATAAACCTTTTAAGGTTCTATTGCCTAAGTGAATGCTGTGAAATTCCAAAAGCTTTAATATGTCCTGGTATAATATTACTTGTAATTCCAAGTATTGAAGTACTGTCTATCCCAGAAGTAACCAAATTTCCTTGTCAACTATAAGGTTCATTACACTATAATGAATTCTCATCACATCTTTAACCATGGCCATTTGAGTCGTTCATTATTTAGTTACTGTTCTGATATGTACTCCTACAAATGTGTTTCATCTTCAAAGACATTCAGAGAGGACTTCTGACAAAGATTTGTGATACCCTTATGATACTAAAACTAAGCCGAATAAAAATTTCTGGAAATGTGTAAACTACACTCAAATTGAACAAGAATAACATGATTAAAGGAATCAAGGAAGATGATTACAGTGTTTATGACTCATCTGAAACATCACTGGTTATCTATTGTTCAATCTTCAATACTTTTAAAAACATTTTATCTTTTCCCCCCTTCCTGATCCCTCCTGAATTCAGAAACTCTGAGTATTCTTACCTTCATGGAAGTTATTTGCATAAATTCATTAAGAATCTCTCCTTGTAAGGGGTCACCATCAGAAAAGCTGATTGTATTACCATGGCTTTGACTAGAATGTCATATTTGAGAAAGACATGCATAGGCTCAGATATGACCAGAAAGCTTTAAGGAATTAAGGTGGACTTTATGGTGCTCGTGAAGCCCCTAGAATAACTGGCCTGGTTGGTGCCTTGCTTATACTAGGTTCCTGGGAGCCTTACCAGGTTAAGTTAAAAAGGTCACTTCCTTGCAGGCTTATTTGGGGGACTCCAAGAAGCGAGAAAGTATTTCATTTCTTTAGGTATTACAAGCGAGTCTATTGCCAAGTATTTGGCTTGGCTCTTAGCCTCGAAAGGCTTTTAAAAGCTCGATCTGAAATTCTTTATGAAAAGTTCCAACAAAGCAGATCTGAGAGAACAAGGCCAGTCACTATTCTGCTACACTTACACAAATATTTGGGCCAAATTTGTTAAAAATGGACTTGTTTTACAAACAAATTAGTCTTATTTTGGCTACTGATGGAAATGAGGGTGATTTTGGAGCAAAAAAATTATGTTTTAGTAACATACCTCTATGGGTGTGAAATTCTACTTCTGATTAATTGTCTTTGCATGTTTATTGTTTACCATACTAGCTGGATCCTGAATGCTAATGATTTCCTTGATTATCTGGCTAATTTTCTACCTGACTGCTTACACACCATAGGCCTGCCTCCTGAAATGAGACAACTGTTTAACTGAATTGAGCTGACTTACCTCATTATGGAATGTGGAATACGAAGTTAAGACTACACATTAGAGTTCCAAAAAATGGCTCTATGAAGGATAAGGGCTCAACCTAATACTAGGGACTATCTACAACTATTCCCTCCTTGAATCCTGATCTATGCCCCTGCTCAGCAGGAAGTAGCTGGACTCACTAAAGAATGAGGAATAATGAAAAGTCAAGTTGGTATGGAGACCAAACAGCTACTGAGTTGTTGCTAACTGAAGATTTGCCATGTCTACTCACTCTGAAATATCTGTCGTACTGCCCCAGCCTGGCACTGCTGACATCCCTCTGTCCGTTGGCTCAGGAAGTGTCTCCCTGTTGTGAGCCATGACTTAAGGTCATATTCACAATCACTTTGAGGCTGGGTCTCTAGAAAGGATCTCTTTTACTGTTACCTTCACTTGATAACTCATCTCTTTACCAGGTCACTGGAGAGCTATACGTCTAAGTGTTTTCTTTTATAGGTATATTAACCTCATGTGGCCATCTATATTACTGCTGTGACATAGGTGGAAGAATGTCACATAAAGACCGTACGGGCCATAAAATATGTTGGAGGTGAAGCATACCAGTGCCGACAGTACCGACTCCATGTCTGACCTTCCATCTTGTTCATGTCCAGGCCATCACCTCCCTCAGGGCTGTGTGTTCCGGGCCCCCTGGAGGTTAACGTATGCCCTGACCAGAATTTGGGAAGGCTTGTTGTGATCACCCCTAAAGTTGTTTAGATAACTAGCAGAGGTAATATACTACCCCCTCCATCTTCTAGAGTACATGCGGAGCCACAGGGTCTGTTAAGTGTTAGACCCTGTGACCTCACCACAGTGCCCTCTGCACATCCCATCACACTGTATAAAATACATGGACTGAGGTCCAGATTTGGTGAAGAATAGCTGTGCAGCCACCTGGATCATCACCTGCCCAATGCCCCCCGGAGAGTAAGTTACCCTGAATAAAACTGTGTAAACTGTATGGAGTCACCTGCTTTGTTTTCCAATCTCAAAGTGCCTTCTCTGTTTGGAGGATACTTTATTGTCCATCCTCCACCTTCCAACACTCCCTTTTCCCTGCTTCTTAAAAAAAGAAAGAGATAATCAAGTCCTCCTGACTCGACAGGATGGCCCCAAAACCTATAAGCCTAACTATGCACGTTAAGTGGTTGGCTGACATTATAATTCTTGGTATGTGCAATGCTTTGTCCCTAATTAGAAGTGCACAGTTAATGTGTGCTGCTTTACCAGCACTGAATAAGCCAGAGTCTTAACCACACCCCACAAGTAATGGTGGGGCAGGAGGAAGAGAGTGTCAAGTGCGCAGTCCTGTTCAGAGTTGTGCAAGCTGCTCCACACAGTCACAATGTACCATTCGGCCACAAAAATTATCTTTCAGCTGGTTCCTCACATCTCCGGTATAAGGTCTCTGGAGACACTTCAGGTGGCTTCCCCCTACCTGTCAAGTGGAGGCACTGATTGGTCACGGTAAGTGGTCAAAGACCTCAAACAGCTGCCTCTTCCCAGATTTTATGACATTTATATCCTTAAATCTCTCAAATCAATACTCTCTTATCATTTTTCTCTTGGACAACTGTAACAACCTCTTAGCGGGCCTCCATGTCTACAGTCTCACCCTCTTAAAGCCATCAGCTAAGGCTACCCAGTGAGGCTTCTCGAACTGTGTATCTGATTATGTCCTGGAGATCACAGATTGGTACTACTCTCTCCAGAGTGCACCAAGTTTCAGAGTTGGAGGGCACGCTGAAATGATCAAGTGCTAAGTCTCCTTAAGCAAACAGAAAAAGGTTTAAAAAACAAAAAAGCAAAAGATCCTAACAGGAAGAAAAAAAGCAAAACGGTCATCCTGAGTTGTCCCCCAAGCTGCCTTGGCCCTCCTCTTCAACTGCAGGCAATGTCCTTCCCCTAAAATAAACCTGACTCCTTATATGTTACTTACAATTCTTTGACCAAAGCGGTCTATTTTACATCTACTATCCATTTGTTTATGCCACACTTTTTTGCCTTGAATACTACCATCTCAAAGAGCCCTTCTCTTATTAAGTTGTTCTCAAAAAGGTCCTAATATCAAATTCATCACTCATTCAGTAACTTACTTTAGATTTCTGGCAAATTTTAACACTTCATTGCATTTACCTGGCTTACATTTGTATCTTTACTAGAGATTACAGTTTCTTAAAACAGGGTTGTTGTTGTTTTTTTTTTTTAATCCCAAGTCCTTAATACACAAAAGAGGCACGAAACTGTGTGTTGGTGTTTGGAGTAAGTTGTACATTCTAGACCTGCTTGATTCTTAACCTGTTCAGAATCCCCGGAGAAGGTGAACACTTCGGATACTTTGCCCAAGAAAACTGAAAGGAAATTTCCCAGAGGGGAGGAGGGTCATGAACTTCCTGAAGAGCAACAAGGAATCCCTAGGGATTCCACTCACTCTAGTTTTGGAATTCGTGCTTTTGAGACAAAGTAGTCTTTACTAGTATTAAGGTACATACGCCCCTTCCGTCTGACCATCCACTCTTGCAACTCCAAGTGTCTCCAAGTTACTACTGAATATATTAACTTAAATGCACCATAAGGTTTTTTTCAGTCAAGACTTAATAAACTGCTCTTAAAAGCAAAACAGAAATAGGGCTTCTCTCATCCCTGATCAGGCCCAAGAGAAGAGAGCCCAGGGAAAGTACTGGGGCCAAAATAAACAGAAGCTCCGTCAAGGGTTACAAATAACAAGAATGTACTATGTGGCTTTAAATGTGCAATCTTCTATTAAATGGGAGAGAATCCGTCGAAGTGATGCATTCAACACTTCCACTATCAAATTGAAAACACAGAACTGGCCTTACCGGGTCTCCAGACCCCGATCTACTCTTCCCCATACACACCAGGTCTAAAGCTTCTCCACTCCCTCCGCCCGCACAATTCACGTCACCTTTGCGCTTCCCTTCTTGCCTATGAAACGGTAAGAACTGATCCCGACCAGGGAGATACTGGATTTTTCGGCTAGTTGGAAACTCCAAAACGCCTCGAGGCTAAGCTCGAGGTGGCCGGCGCGTTCTCTCCCAGTCCTCCCTTTTCTGCTACGCCATCAGCACCTCCACCCGCCGCCCCCTCCCGAGGCTAAAAGAAGGGGTGGGAAGCTACGTTCTGGCTTTATCCGCTCCACGGAGGAAAAGGGGAGACTGATACCTTTCGGAATAGCGCAGGAGTTCCGCATCGAGCTGTTCCCGGATACCGGTGCGCTTCCTGTTAAGGTAGCGCGGGGAAAGTGCGATGTGTCTTCGGTGCGGCCCCGCCACCAGGCAGGAGTAGCGGCTACTGACCAGCGCACATGCGGCAGCGTAGGTTGGCAGCTCTAGGCAGGGCAGGACGCCAGCCTGTCCCACCACTGGTCCCTCAGAGGCCGCCTTCGGCGGCGGAGCCTCTGAACAACCCGCAGCCATGCGGCTTGTCAGGTTCCCCACGGCGCGCGGCGCTGACGCAGGCAAACCCGCCAACCTCCGGACGCCTGGTTTCTGCGTCATCCACCAGCTGGCACGCCCCTCGGAAATTTCTCTCCTTCAGCTGCATTACTCACTTATGACCAGCAGAGGGCAACCGCTTTTTCAACTGGGGAGCTAGGAACCTGAACGTATTTAAACATGCTCGGAGGCCAGCCACCACCTCTCTCTTTAAAAGGGCTGGAGAAGCAAACCATGAGAGACTCTTGAATGCTGACAAAAACTGAGGACTGATGGATGTGGGGGGTGGGGGGGATGGGCATGGAGGAGGGCACTTGTGGGGATGAGCACTGAGTGTTATGTGGAAACTAATTTGACAATAAACTATTAGGAAAAAAAAGGGCTGGCAAATTTATATTTTTGCCAACGCCCTTGTTGGATTTAGTACGTAGATTTAACAGGGGTTCACACTTTCATAATTTCCCGTAGTAACGTCGTTCGGTAAATTTTACAAGCGTGGACAGTACAGTAATAAATTTTAAAATATTTAGGGAGTATATTTTCCACGGAGAACCCAGTCCTAAAAAAAGCAGCCCAGATGCCTCAAATACAATACAGCTGAAAATAAACCAATCATCTCTCCCCTCCCGCTCTCTTCATTCTGTAATAACTAATTCAGGAACTCTTACCCCACTTTCCACATGGCTCCTCCAGTTGTCATCCTTGTAACCTCTCCTGCACCCTCAAATATCAAATCAGCCCCAAGGCTTGTGGGGTCCGAAGTGGAAACATCAGTCTACCGGGATACTTGTTTCGTTTTCGCCTCCAAAACCACTGAAGTGCTTGTGAATGGTCAAGAGGACACTCAGAGCACCTTCTCCAAAAGGAAAATAGAACCATGACTTGTCCACATACACGCCCATTTTTCTTAGGATAATCAAGACTCCCTAATATGGTTCTTAAGTTACTTGCAAGACCATATTAGGATCTGCTGTCAGCCTAGCAGTTCGATTTATCACACTCCGCACTTAACATTACCTGCAAGCCACCACCCACGCTCAACTGACTCACTTTCAGCTTGCTCCCTCTCTTTCTCTCAGTTCCTTCTACCTGGTGGGAACACAGCAGTTTCTCTCTATGGGAAAACTCTTAGATTTTGCATTCTGTTCCTCTGAAGTTTACTACCTCCCAACCTCTCCCCACCCCCCACATATGGATTAGTTAGTTCCTCCATCTTTGTAAATTACTACCTTCAAGCACTTGTTTTTATGTTAATTTTTTGTCAGTTGCCCGATGGCCTTCCTTCAAAGACTCCAAGCTCACTAAGGCAGGAACCGTGGTAACTGTCTTTTTCACCACTGCAACTCCCCTATGACTCAAAACAAAGCATTGGAAATGAATGAATGAATGAAATAACAAGTGATAAAGAGGTCACATTCTAAGTAAGTAAACAGAATATCAACATAAAATATACAACCCAGATTACACTACTTAAGTGCCAAGAGAAATGCATGGCAGTCAGTGATGTGAGTTTTTAATATACCTCCACCTCCGTTTTAAACCTTTCTCAAATTGTTTTCCTGCCTGTAAAATAAGAGTAATAATAATGTACTTACCCTGCTTACTGTAGAAATGGTAGGAGGTTCAAATAAGAGAAGTAAAAAAAACATTTTCTCCAGTATTCTTTACTTTCAAATTCAGCATGAGATGATAATAGGATGAAACTGCTCCCAAATCCCAGTGATAAACATAAGCCCTTGATTGGGAAATGCTAACTGGCTTTTCCTGGATTTGATGACAAAGTTCTGCAAAAGCCCCCTGCAGGAGCCTTTTGTTTAGTGTTCTCAGCTTTGGCTAAATATTAAAATCACCCAAGGAACTTTAAAATCTGATACCTTAACAGCATCCCCAGACTAGTTAAATCAAAACTTCTCCCTGCAATGAAGACTCATGTAGATTCTCTGCAGGTGAATTGAATGAAAACTATTTGTACAAACCACTTTAGTAAAAGCAATAAGCTGGGCATCAGGACAATTCAGTGAAAACAAAACTTACCTGGGGCACCTGAGTGGCTCAGTCGGTTAAGCGTCCGACTTCAGCTCAAGTCATGATCTCATAGTTCGTGGGTTTGAGCCCCGCATGGGCTGTGTGCTGACAGCTCAGAGCCTGGAGCCTGCTTCAGATTCTGTGTCTCCCTCTCTCTCTGACCTTACCCTGCTCACGCTGCCCCTCTCTCTCAAAAATAAATAAATTAAAAAATTAAGAAAAAAAAACTTACCTGAAATCAACTACCCCAGAAATGATTTTTCATAAGTTTTAAATAGGGATTAGTTTTGTAACCCTTTGCATGCTCATAAGACATTTGCTTGTTTGAATTTGAAAATTGTTTTCTACTCTAGTTTTTTTTTTGGTCCTGTCTTGATTGTTGGTTGCTACCCACAATCTGCATGATTTGAAAGAGGGAAAAGGTGATTTAGCCTACATGTAAATGTTCACCATCATGGAGCTACTTTACCAAATGAATTTGTTTCGCCTGCCATGCAGGGAAGACGTAAACCAGTACAATGAGATTCCTCCCACCTATCTCCTATCTCACTCAAATTCACAAACTTTATTTGATCAAGGGCCTGTAGTTAGACTGTACCATTGTCTTTTGATCTAAAATTTGATCAAAGTGGCACAGGAAGTCAGGCATTGGTGTTCCCTGTTTCAAGAAAAGCCCTATTTAAGTCAGTCGTCAAGCACATGCTAAGAAAACCTCTTTTCTATCAGAAGTTAGATGTGACTTTGACTCCATGTCCACTGACCCCAAAGAAAAAGAGAAAAGTAGCAACTCTCTGTGTCTTATTTTACCATTAACCTCTTCCTTTCCAACATGCACACACTCTATATTACATTAGTGGGTTTCTTTTCCTCAAAATAGTGAATCCCTGCACCAATATAAATGTGCAATAACTGGTAGTTTTCTGAAATAAGTTACAATGTAATTTGTGCCATATACTCTAATTTTTATAGGAAATATACACATTTATATGATTAGAAAAGAATCTGGATGCATGAATTCTATGCGTTAGTTATTTTGAGGGTGAGTTGCTTTTTAAAATTGTGTGAGTTTTCACATGTAATTGTAATGAGTGTGCATTGTTTTATACTTTTAAAAAGTAGAAACTTAATCAAGAAAGGGTTCCCATTGTTGACAATTTTGTTGTCACAAGATATACTCAATTTTTAAACAGTTTAATAGAGTGCAAGGCGAGGAGCCTTGGGTGCTAAAGTTACATTGTTTAAATCTGAATCTTGGCTCTGCCGCTTACTAGATGTGTGGCATTGGGCAAGTTCTTTTTTAATAAAAAATATGAAATTATTAGAGTAGACTTTACTGAAGAAATGGAATTAGTAAATTCGAACTACAACTACGTGTAAAGATTTACGGAAGATAGCTTTATGTAAAGGGCAATGCAGATAAAAAGGCCATTCCATCAACTGGCTTTTGCTGCATAACAAACCATCCTCAAATCGGGCGGCTTTAAAAACAATCACTAATTCAGTTTATAATTCTGTGAGTACAAATTTGGGCTGGGCTCAGCTGGACTCACTCACATGTCTGTCAGATGTGGTCAGTCCACGTGTCTCATTCTCTAACAGGCTGGAGTAGGCTTGTTTGCCTAGCAGCTGTTTAGCTTTCTGAGCAGAAGAGAGTGGAAGAGCACACCAGAGAAAACATGGCCTCTTGCACAAATGCAGGCTAATGTGTGAAATACTTATGATCTCAAGTACTTTGTACTTTGCCTAAGAAAGGATCCAGGGCTATTTCTTTCATATACCAGGTGTGCACTGGAAGTCCCTAAAAGTGCCCCCACCTGATACAGTAATAACAGTCCTGACAAGAGTTTAATCATCCTTATGCATTGACTTTATCAAATTGTTAGAATGGATGACGATTTCATCAACATCACAGCCACCACCATGATTATCATCACCATAGCTAAACTTTATCACAAAACTGCTGGGCCCTGTGGTAAGTGCCTTAAACAAATCCCCAGCGCAGAATCTTTAGGCACATATTACCATTATTAAATAATTTTACAGATGAGAAGACTATAATCTAGGGAAGCTTTTAAAACGTTGGCCCCATGAAGGTCGCAATCCTGTCTGTATTGTTGAAAGCTGAAGGCCTAGCCTAGCACGTGTTTCTTGAGTGAGCAAATGAATGAGTTTTCCGAGGATACACAGCTGCTAATCAAGGAATCTAACCTAGGCATGACTCATTCCAGGCAAAGCTTATGCTTTGAATCCCTAAAACTCCTCACTGTTCAAATACACAGGGCCAAAGGTAATAAAGGAAAAAATTTTAAGAGTCAAGAAAATGGGTGGCTGATTTTAGTTAGCCTCTGCCTAAAAACAAATGGTAAAGTGGGAATCAGATAAAACTGGTAAACAAAACCTACTTAACAGGCTTGGCAAGATGTCAAAGAAGCTCTGTTTTGGGCCAAAGGGTGAGTGCTAGTGGTCTTGCAGACAGTAATTCAGACAAGATGGCATGGCGGGTAGGAGCCTGGTACAAGAGTCCGGTGGTTAGGGTCTCAGTGGCTCTGTCACCCTGGACAACTTATCTACTCTTTTTAAACTAACTTTCCAATCTGTAGTGTAGAAGTATAATGATAGGGAGAAGCTGCAAGGAGTAAATGAGTTAATGACAGTGTGACACTGAGCATGGTGACTGGCCTATAGTACGTACTTAATAATATAGGCTTTTTGGAGTCCATGAGCAACACTTCGGGCATAATATGCCTGGT